CCTCGAGGGAGAACTGAACAACTTGGTCTTCAGTCACGTGAGTCATCGTACACAGGTCCTGACAATGAGAGAGAAATAAAGGATTAGTCTCAAGCGTACTACGCCCTGGCAGCTTGTCCGTCGAAACGAGGACGCTCGTAACGAGGGAAGAAGGAATGCGCATAACAAGCGTAGGCGTAGGTGTTGTCAAGAAGGGAGAGCAGTACAAAGGCTTACTAAGTTTCCCCGTACCTGAGCGAACACCGGCAACAGACGCTTGAGACAAGGGCTCGACAACAGTAGTTCCACAGAGCTTAATTCGATCGGGAGGTAAGGTAGTCCACCCAGTCAGCAGGGATTTAAATATAGCTCCTGCACCCAGTTCCAAACAACTCCGCGTAGGTAAGAGGCCTAGTCGAAACAGAGATATAGTGGAACTAGAACTTCCAACACCACTAGGATACGATGGATTCCTTCTTTGCCGACGGATATGCTCGCCCCCATAACCACCCAACAATCCCAAAAAATATGGGGGTGATCTCGATTCATCCAGTACCACGCGGAAACCCACCATCCCACGGAACTGGAAAGACACTCCCCGCTTCGTCGCCCAAAAGGTCTTGCTGGCGGGAGTGCAGACTTCCGACACCGGGCTTCAACCACCGGCCAGTCAATCGGGTAAACCTGCAACCCAGAGATTGCCGGCTCTGCGTTCGTAGAAATCCGGCCAGACTGATCATCAGTGGCCTCACTTGGGCTAACAATCAAAATAACAGAACTTTTAGACGTGGATAACAGCGATTCATCGCCTACCACATCCGACGACGGAGGGAGCCAAAACCTCCAACCTTTAAGTCCAAACAACCTGCACCTCTTGGCAGGTCTGAAATTGATCAAGGAAGAGCCATGCGCAGGTCTGACATCCTCTCGCATCTGGGATCTCTTCTGTTTATAGAGCCCCCCTTTGGGGTTGATAGTATTTCGAGTTTGTAAACGAATACCCGACCCTAAATAGATCGCCGGCGGCACCAGCCGTGTTGTACGACTGCCTGAAGTGCTTCGGCTTCATTCATGCGTGGCTATGATATTCTCCATGGATCGCAACCATTCACACTTATGATTCTTAATACTACGCAGCAAAAGAGTGACGAAGATCTTATACAGCCAACCACCCAGCCGGCGCGGCCAAACGAGGAGCGAGGAGAGAGCTCCTCGCATGTTTTTTTTAATCACTTCTTCACCGAAATTGAGGACGTATCATCAATTGTCTTCTAGATGACCATCACGTGGAAAAAGGTCTGATTGACCTTGGCTCAAGTGTCAACATACTACCACTATATCTATATGAAGAGATTGAACTAGCTAACATGGAGTATGTCAACGTGGAGATCACGCTAGACAACCACACCCCTTGCAATGCTCTTGGAGTTGTTAGAGGCTTAAGCACCCAAGTTGGTACGTTCATTGTTTCCCTGACTACCTCCTGATTGACATGGAGAGAAGAAAAGAGTATTCAATCCTCTTTGGAAGGCCATTTCCTGCCACTACTAGAGCAAGAATTGATATTGTCAACAGAGGAGTAACTTTACATTTGAGAAAGCTTCTGTGCAAAGTGGAGAAGGCAGTCAAAAGAAGTGATGAACTCGAGAGAGTATCTGTAGGAGGATCCAAAGAACGAGATCAAATTTTGATATGGTTCTCTGTTTGAATTTTCAACAAAAATAATTGTTCATCACCATGATCAAGACCCATAGCATGGAGGCGAGTCAAAGGAGGTTCCACCAATTCTTGATCCAAAGCTAGCTCAAATGGCACTCAGGATAACATGTACAAGGCAAAGGCAATTCTAGAAACGATCAGGGAGCTGGATTATGAGACATCATAAGAGTATAATATTTCATCAATCGCCATCAACCTATTGGGAACAACGAACGAATCCTTGCAACGGGATGGGAGATGATGATGAAGTGAAACTTGATCGTAAAAATAGCTAAAAGGGATCCTCGCTAAGCCTAACTCAAAGGCATAAAAGAGAAAGCACTTTATGGGAGGCAACCCATGTCTGGCGTCAAACTTAATGACGTTAAACAAAAGTGATGCCGAGGAGACAAGCCGAATTTCTCTTTTCATAGTTAATTTTCTTGATTTCGAGTTTATTTTTTGCTTGAAATTCTAAGTTACTCATTGGTGGAAATCAGTGTATTCCTTCGATAGGTGTTACATTTGGAGCCAATTTGTGAACTTATGATGAGAAAGAAGGATTTGATGATGTGAAAATAGTACAAAATCAACTTTTGTACTGTCAAGGAAAGTGTTCTAAAAGAAATTCTAGAAACCGACGCAAAATGCAAAGTTAAGCAGCAGCAGCTCGACCCACCATACCCTCGCTGCTGCCCTAGGGCGTGTGAAACCCGCCATATGGCCAGAAACACTTCACAAACCCTCAATTTTCACTTCCTTTCCTCTCTCTTAGCCGAAAATCCTCTCACTTCTCTCTTTTAATCTATTAAATGCTTGGATGGATTGATGAATTTTAGTAAAGGTCATGACAAAGTTTTCAAAATTCTAGCATAGCATCCTACGAATTGAGCTTTAAACGTCAAGCTATGCTAAGTTTCGAATTTATTGGTTTATTTTTTGAATTTTGAGATATCAACGGGAGTTGGGCATTGAAAATTTCGAATTTCATTACTTATTGGGATAAAATGTCATGCCATTTTACTTGTGCCAACTTATCAATTGACCATTGCCTAATCTTATAACTTGGAACTTTGAAAATTTTCAAATTATAAAGATAAATAGTTCATACTACTTCTACATTTCGAAGTGATAAATATTTCCTATCTCTGTGTAACACCCTAACCTATACGTTTTTCCTAATCATATTGTTCATACAATTGCAGCGGAATTAATCTCGGGTGTTACATTAATTATCAAAATTTACACAAATAAAATTTCGCCATGAATTACTCGCGTAATGGGCTAACAGTTCTTGCAACTTATCCTGCAAAATAATTCATCACAAACATATATACTCACAACCATATGCATTGGCTTTTCTTAGCCATAGTCACACTTTTCATACTCCACAACTGCATATCATACTTATACATACCATAATCGTCACAACTTACAGAGTTACACAACATATACACATATCATCAACTTTCCACACCTGTGGATATCTCACACTACATCAGAAGCTAGTATGCACATGAAAAACGTTCTCAAAACATTTTTAAAAAAGGTGTGGATCACTGGCCAAATTCCCGAGTAGTAGTCCAAGCACAGAGTAGTTGAAGACCATACCTCATCTTGCCTTCAACTCTTTCTCAGCTCCCACCTATACACCTATCTACTACTGCTGCTGATGATCTGCTTACACGTAGCATAAGCAGAGAAGAAGAATAAAAGAGGGTCAGCTCATAGCTGAGTGAGATAATCATAGCATCGTGAGTTCATATCAGAGCATACCCCTATCATACATCTAACAATCAAGCCAAAACACTTGGATCGGACCTCAGCCATCCTCATATCCCAATAGGCAAAAGACTCAACCACCTTGACTTATGCATATGCATCTTATCATGTTTTAATCATAGGAGCCTGGCTACTCACATGCTAATAACTCTCCCGGGAAACATACCCCACATCCCGTCGGATGTAGTCATACATACCCCAACATCCCGTCGGATGTGGTCATACATACCCCACACCACTATGGGTGTAGTCATACCCCGACACCACTCTGGGTGTGGTCATATCTCGTAAGAATTCTTCAGTCACCACCACATGAGAGGTGTGACTATCATACATATCATAATAGAGTAATAGCATAGGGAGCCTAATTACTATGTAGTTGACCGTGAGACCACAACACTCATATTTGGTATCCTTATACATGATTCATATCTCATCTTGCTTAATCATAATTCATTACTTGCACATGTACTTGACCTGGCCATAATTGGCTCAACATAGGTAAATCAGGAGTCGTATAATTGCACTTCTTTGGGATAAACCCTCGTGCAAGTCATCCTCCTTAAACATCATAATATCACTAGGGAATATATATTTTCCCACTTGTGCATCCAAATACAACAATCATGAAAAATCATACCTAATCACCTTCTCGAACCATCGTAAAGCATATTAACAGTCAAGCCCACAATTTGCAACATATACACAATCATCAGCATAAACAAGGTTCATATCGATTAGGGTAAGTCAATAATATCATACAGCAATCCATGGTTCAACATATAGCACAAAAGCTCATACACCCCTAATCATGCCATTCTAGTTCACCTAGATCAATTCTAAGCATCAATATAATTATCGTGATACGACAAACCCGGTATGCCGTGCTAATCCCTCACCAGTTCTGGTCGTTCAAACACCGGCTTAACCTTCCCGTACTAAAATGTCAATTTCACGAACGAACCCCGAATTAAAATCCGAGACCGTTCTAATATCCCCTGCAGTATCCCCGTCAATATTAGTTCTAGGCTCCGGGTCAAATTCTTTATAAAAACACATCAAACCCTGGCCGGAGCTAAATTCAGCGGTTTGGACCCCGACCTAAATAATTGCTGAAATTCAGGGATTAGAACTAGAGGATTTATTACCTCGCTGCAGGAAGCTCGTATATGAAATTTGGGCTCAATCCGACTTCCGGATACTGCGAAACCTTAATTTGGGTAATCGGGAATTCAAGAAATTCCTGAACCAAAAACTCGTTTTAAAGCTCTAAATCGATAAATCACGATGTATAGATGAATCAGGCATTACTTACGGGATTTTTGGATCACTTAAGCTCAAGAATTGAGCTCGGTGAATTTTTCAAAAATTGAGCTCGGAGAATTTTTCAGTTCCCTCCCCTGCGCGCCCTCTTCTTCTCAGTTTCTCTCGGTCCAGAGAATGAAAATAATGGACATGGAGGGGTTGGGACGGGATATATATATCCGACAATGTCACTCACACTTTTTAATATATATATATAATTAATACGTATACTTATCCGATCGATTGATAAATCGATTTTTGCCGAAATACTGCCAAATGCTCGATTTTAAATCGCGTAACTTTCTAGCGATCGAAATATGAGTTTTGCCAAAACGGGATGTTACAATTCTCCCCTCCTTAAAAGATTTCGTCCCCGAAATCTATCCTTGAGTCGATGGTACATATCCGCTCATTTCCCCCCTAACCTACATTATCACAAATCTTGTTACTATCTAAATTTTAGGTTAGGAGATCTGAAGTACATAACTAAACACATAACACCTCAAGTTCCCAATATAAGGTTTCAAAAACCTATACTGGGCTATCACAACAAAAGCACATTGACTCGACTCTACTGTCACCCTAGGAATTGGCCAAGTGGAACCACTCCCTAAAGCGTAGTATAGCGGGTTTGGGTTTAATTATCAACCCGGGTCCTAGATTTGATGACTACTCAGTGAATTCTTGTTATCTAGCAATGAAACTGGAATGCAAGTCTAAACTATCAAACTAACAAAGCAAGTAAACGGTTGTATTCAGGTTAAAGAGGTCACCCGGATATGGTTCCCCCTAGACTGCAGTTAAGCCGGATTGTAATTACCAAGTTCAGTTTCTATGAAGATTATACTTCGGAAGATTCTTAAATAGCCTGAAGTCTCGACTAAAGGTCTTCAGACCCTCTCAATCTGACTCTCTGGCGGGCGACTAACCTCCACCGGAGTCGACAGATTGAGGCCCTAAGAACAAAACCTCCACTACCGGAGTAAATCCGGTACAGAATAGTGAGTTGGCTCCTCGACTAAAGTCACCAACTCCCTACCTTCAATCAAGGATACTCTATTAACCTAGGCAGATATTCTCATTCTAGGTTAAAGCAGAAACAACAGGAATTTGATCAGGATTCAAGTCATTCAATCATTAAAACCTCAATAGAATATAATCAATCACAGAATCAGTACTTGGGTTCATACAATCAAAGCCTAACATACAAATCTAGGGTTCTCCATACCTAGATGAATGGGAGAACTACTCCATAGAGAAGAAAGCAAAAGCAGAATCAGACACGGAATTCATACTGCGAAGGATGGATTCCTGCTTCTGGACGTTGATTGGCACTTCTCCAAGCTCAAGCTGGCCTCCAATGGTGTTGAAGATCAATCTAGGGCACTTGGGAACTCTAGCTCGTCACTTTCTCTCTCTAGGAATCGCTCTCTTTCTCCAAAACCCGAATCCCATCGAATTGTGGCTGAAATTCTGCTTAAAAGGAGAAAATCCCGACTCACACGGCCAGGGTGGCACGGCCGTGCAGCTCACCCAGTTGCCCGTGTGAGTCAAAACGCATCGTTTCATTTAGTTCGAATTCCAGGCACTTTGCACTGCCAGAATGGCACGGCCGTGTGGACATCCCCTCTTTCCCGTGTTTGCTCTCGCAGAATGTGGCACGGCCAACCCGGCCACTTGCACGGCCGTGTCGATCCTCTGCTCTGCCCGTGTGTGCTCTCGGTAAAACTCGCACGGCCAGTATAGGTGTCAAAACAGAGCCCGACCCGATTAACCCGCCCGATCAACCCGACCCGCAACCCGACCGCAACCCGAATTGACTAAAAGTCAACAACCCGTAACCCGCCCGACCCGCAACCCGATTGACCCGCAACCCAACTAACCCGCAACCCGACTGACCCGCAACTCGATTAACCCGAACCCGATTGACCCGCAACCCGACTGACCCGCAACCCGTTAACCCGATTGACCCGAACCCGACTAACCCGTAACCCGACCGACTCAACCCGAATTTCATCTAATCCACTTGAATAATTATTAAAATATACAATACATAGTTTTTCAAAATAAAGTTTTTCATTCTAAACTTAAGTAAAATTATTTTTTCATTTCGTATAAGAAATTTAAAAAATATGAAACTCACTTGATATTACGTATGTTAAGAAAATTACCAAAATTGAAACATGATGGTCACTTGAGATCATGACAATATTAATATAATATATAAATTAAAATTTTGGTTAATTTAACTATTCAATAAAATTATCAATTAAATATAAATAAAGTAAAGTAATGTATTTGGTAATTTGATGTTTTTAAAAGAAGAGGGAAATTTTGGTGTATTCAAGTTTTTGGGAAGAGAAAGAAGAGGGAAATTTGGTCCTTTGAATTTTTTTTAGAAAAGAAACAAGTGGGAATTTTTGTGGTTTTGATATGTGGGAAGAGAAAGAAGTGGGAAAGTTTGATTTTTTTAATTATGAAAGAGAAATATGGAGGGAAACTTTTGACTTTTCAACTTTTTGTAGAAGGAAAGAAAATGGTAATTTGTTTCTTTCAATTTTATGGAAGAGAAAGAGGAGGGAAAATTGAGTTTTTCTAATGTATGGAAGGAGAAAGAAGGAGGAAATTTTTAGTATTTTGTGAAAAGAAAGAAGGAAACAAATTTGGTGTTTTCAATTTTTTGATTTTTCATAATTTTAGCTTTTGAAATATGAATCTTTAACTTTTATATGGAGGGCATGACTAGTTAAAATTATTCTTATATGCTTTGAAGGCTAATATGTATATATGTATGTAATTGTTTATGGGCTAATAAATGAATTAACCATTAGTTACAACAATTTATACTAAACTTGATAAGTAATCTTTGACGGTTCGTTGTTTAGGATATAAAGTATATGGTTAGGGTATAAGGTATAAGGTACATATGGTTTAGGGTATATATGGTTAGGGTATAAGATATTGATGGTTTTGACGGTTCTAAGATTTTTATTAACATATGTTCACTTGAAGTCGTTTGAAGTCTTTAACGGCAGGAGATCCCTTTTTAATTTATGTTTATGGTACGTGGTTAGGGTACAAGGTATGTGGTGTAAAGTATATGATATATGGTTAGGGTATAACAATTAGCAAATATCACTTTTTATCTATGTTTTGAAAATCAAAGTATGAATTTCACTTTTAAATTAACTATACTAGCAAATCACAACTCAATGACATATGATTAGGGTATAGGTTATGTGGTTAGTGTATAATGTATTGATGGTTTAGGGTATACAATCAACAACATATACTAACTTAATATTGTTGATTGAGGGTAAGGCTAAGTGTATATAGGATATATGCTATTGAGTAAGTTATGATTGAAGTCACAATAATTTTACTAAATTTGATAGCTAATCTTTAATGGTTCAATTTTTGGGATAATTCGAACAATTTTACAAATAACTCGTTTGGCAACAGTTTACTGAAGTTATTTGGGCAATGAGTTATTTTAAAATAACTCCTTTTATCACTATGCTTTTGCCAATTACCACACGCCAAATACCAGATTTGCATGGTTATTCTAAACGAGATACTTTAATTCAATTACTACAGAATTAATACTAAAATATCAAATAAACAGTTAACGCTGTCTTTTGGTTGCAAATATTGATATCACCATTACTATTAGCTATAATACTTTACCAATTATGATTAATTACATAACAAGTTTGCAAGTCATACAAATTGATTTAAAATTTTGACTAGTTTTTTTCAAAAAAATAAAGTATATATATACGAGGTAGAAATAAATTGGTTAAAAAGTTGAGAAAATATTTTAAATTAGTGTAATAAAATGTGTAAGTTGGTAATGAGTAATGAGTTAAGTTACTTGATGCGCTGGCCCGAACAACCCGAAACCCGACCCGCCCGCAACCCGCCCGACCCAAAACCCGATGAACCCGCAACCCGATTTGCCCGCAACCCGATTGAATCCGAACCCGATGAACCCGCAACCCGTTTGAACCCGAACCCGATGAACCCGAACCCGATGAACCCGCAACCCGACTAACCCGCAACCCGTTTGAACCCGAACCCGATTGAACCCAGCCCGAACCCGCCCGAACCCGCCTGATTGACACCTATAACGGCCAGGCCATTACTTCACACGGCCGTGTGAACATCAGGGCAGCCCGTGTGACCTCCTTTGTGACTTGCCGCGTGCCCGATCTTCACCCAATCGACCCCGAACTCGCTCCTAAACCTTCATTCACTTGCCAGGACCTGAAATATCACAAACAAGCACAACCTAGCGTGAAATCGGTCTAAAACACGAGAAACCACCTCTCAAACGGTGTAAGAACAGGGGTGAAAACATGTGTAACTAACGGTCTATCAAACTCCCCCACACTTAACCGTTTGCTTGTCCCCAAGCAAACCTAACTCAAACCAATGCAACTCTCCAGACCTCTATAGCAACAAACAACCCAGATCGTAGGTAGAGGACTTCCTAGATCATTTAGCAACTTACGAGGTCAACCGACGCACAAGTCATCTCATAACTTCTTCGGCGAGTCGGCATCATGGCAAATAGTGAACAGAGAACAAATGAATTGGGGATGAAGAGATTCTCAAAAACAACAGATCATGGACTCACATTTTTCAAGGTGCTCTATTTTCTGCTTAAGGATGGTTGGAACCCCTTTTCTTTCTGTTTTGCTTGTTTTCTGTTATTTTCTTGGGTTAATACCCTAGTTTGGCCCGAAGTTTAGCGTTAGTGACAGTTTTGGCCTCATTTTTCAAATAAGACATTTATGACCCACTTTTGAAATTATTAGACAAATTTGGCCCGAAAATTATGTTGACCGTTAAAACTGACGGTCAAACATTTATTCCGTTAGTTACTCAGCATTCAGTGCTGATGTGGCACTAACATGGCTGCCACATCATTTGCACATAATTTTTTTATGTTAAAATGAAAAAAAAGGAAAAACAATTAAATTAATTTGGAGCCCACTTAATCCCCCATTCCATTTTCAACCCTACCACCCACCCATCCCTGCGACCACCTCCACCTCCCACTTTCACCCGCCGCCACCTCCAACTCCCATTTTCCCCCGCCGCTGCTAGCCCTGCCTTGCTTTCTGCGGCAAAGCAAATCAAAACCCACCCCTCCCATTTTCTTCCACTTGCCCACCGATTAACACCTCAGCGACCCATCGGTGTGGTGGCCGCCATTAACGAAAGCTTCTCTGGCAGGAAGTTCCAAGAGATCGTCATTGCGCGGGGAAAGCTTCTCGATCTCCTCCGTCCCGACAACATCGGTAGGCTCCAAATCATTCTTTTCATCGAAATATTCGGTGCTATTCGCTCTTTGGCTCAATTCAGACTTACTGGATCTCAGAAGGATTAAATCGTCGCTAGTTCCGATTCCGGGAGGATTGTGATTTTGAAATACGACAAGGAGAAGAGTGTGTTTGATAAAGTTCACCCGGAGACATTTGGGAAGTCCAGATGCAGGAGGATAGTTCCTGGTCAGTACTTGGCGGTTGACCCCAAGGTGAGGGCGGTGATGATTGGAGCTGGCGAAGAAGAAGGAGAGGCGGAAGAATCGTCGGCCGCTCGGGAACGACTGGGGGAAGGAGAAACGATGGAGTGAATAAGGGGAAGAGCTAGTGGTCAACGTGACCCCTTCTCTGTAATTCAGTTTTTTCATTTGTTATTATTATTTGTGTTATTTTATTTAATTTGTAAATGATGTGGACAAGCCCAGTCAGTGGCAAATGCTGAGTCAGTAATGGAAAAATAGTTGACCGTTAATTCTGACAGTCAAACCGTCTCTCGGGCCAAATTTGTCCAATAATTTCTAAAGTAGGCCACAAATGTCTTATTTGAAAAATGGGGCCAGAACTGTCACTAACGCTAAACTTCGGGCCAAACTATGGTATTAACCCTATTTTCTTTTCTTTTCTTTTCAAGAGTCCCAACCTGCTCTTACCGGCCATGCCAGGAGCGGATGTCTCGAGCCTCGTGCGGGGGAAAGACATGTAAGGGGGCTGGAGGTAGTAGGTGGAAATTGGGAACGGATTCCCGTCTCCCCTTACACACTTTTGCCCTATTCGCACGGGAGACGTTATTTTGAAGCACATTTTCGAGCACCTGTTAAACTCAAAACATGATACAAGAGTCCATGACAGGCAGAGAATCCACAACATCACACAATTCAAGGGTCCTAAGATCACTAATTCACTCAATCAACCAACACAATATGAAGAAGAAATGAGACTTCTTAAATGCATCAACATCCTCCATAGTGCTACACTACCTCCCTAGGTTGCATATTACTATAAAGACTGTCAATTCAAAGCATACTGAGCAGGCAATTGCAAGGAAATACGTACTTGGAGCCCTCAAATTTAAAAATTTGGACAGTGGACTAGGCTCCAAGCACACAAACAGATCTAATGCAGTCAAAAGATAAACATCCCCCCACACTTAAGATCGACATTGCCCTCAATGGAGAAGAGGGAAGGATAAGGGAAACGATGTTACCGGTATGCACGGACTGCAGGGGACTGGAAACGGGCCAGTCGGGGCAAGCACAGCCAAAGGGGAACAGAAGAGCTCAGACACAATATGTTAGGTTCAATGGTCAGCCCAATAAAATATCATCCAAACCAAAAGAAAACAAACCAAACCCAAACCGGGTTACAATCCGACTCAAAACACAAGAAAGAAAATTAAACCATGGTGGGGTTGCCTCCCCACAAGCGCTTCTTTACCGTCTTTTAGCTGGACGCCCATGGTGGATACTCAGGGCGGTGCAGGAACAGGTGCCTCCAAGAGCGGATCCACGTCGCTCTTGAGGTACAGCTTCAGGTTGTGGCCATGCACCCGACGGATGCGACCACCCTCATCAGTCAGCTCGACCTGCCCATCTGGCAAGATGCAGGAGACCGAGTACCCAGACGGCCAGGGTGGTCGTGGTGCAGGAGGTGGGACCAGCTCATAGTGGTCTTCACTCTTCTTCCGTGCAGGCTTAGCAACCTGCTGCTTCGGCCGCCACTCCTCCTTGAGCTTTTTGTTCGGAGGCGAGGCTGGATGGAGTGGCGGCGAAGGAATGATAGGAGGGTCCTGCAAAATAGGTGGTGCAGAAGGGTACACGACAGACTCGTGTACCTGATCAGAAATGGCATGCACAGGCGTGACATCAATCATAGCACAGTGATCAAATTCAGTCACAGAAAAAGTAGCCTGTTCATTCCCAGCACGCAAGATCAGTTTTCCATCATGCACATCAATAAGTGCCTTGGCGGTGGCAAGAAATGGCCTACCTAGAATCAAAGGCACATCCACATCCTCATGTATATCAAGAATAACAAAATCAACATGATATGTGAATGCACCAACACCAACAAGCAGATCCTCTATGATTCCCCTAGGATGCACAATAGAACGATCAACTAATTGAATGCTCATCCTAGTAGGGCTAAGTGCACCTAGGTCTAGCATTTTATACAACTTATATGGCATGACGTTAATGCTAGCGCCTAGGTCCGCCAAGGACTTTCCTACATGCATGCTGCCAATAGTAAGAGGGATAGTAAAACTCCCTAGATCCTTGCGCTTCTCGGGCAGCTTGTTCTGCAGGATAGCAGAACACTCCTCGCTCAGCATCACTGTCGAGAGATCCCCAAGTTTCTTCTTGTTGGTGCAGATATCTTTCATGAACTTGGCATACTTGGGCATCTTCGACAGTGCCTCCATGAACGGTATGCTGATATTGAGCTGCTTCAACATTGCCATGAACTTGGCAAACTCAGTCTCCAGCTTGTCCTTGTGTAGGCGAGTGGGGAAGGGAAGCTGGGGTACATGCTCCTTAACCACTGGTTGTGGCTTGGGAGCAGTGGCTTCTTTCTCCACCCGCACTTCTGCATCGTCGGCTGGAAGTGCTGAAGCAGGTAGTGGTTCCTCCTGTCTGGCCGGGACAGGATCAGCAGATATGGTCTTACCGCTCCTGGTAAAAATGGCATCCAGCTGCTGATGCTGGTGAGGATCTCGAGGATTCGGAACAGTGGTGGCAGGCAGAGTCCCCGGTGCCCTGGTAGTGTTTAGGCGGGCCAAGATGCCCACCTGGGTCTGCAGATCCTGCAAAATGGCACCCTGGTTCCTCTGACCTGCCTCCAGTGAGGCTACACTCTGGTCCAACCTCGTGATAGTCGCCTGAGTGCTCGTCATGAATGAAGCTAGAATGTTTTCCAGCTTCGTCATCCTGTCATCTGGGGCTGGAGCTGCTGCTGGCTCGGCAAACTGGCGCTGGGGCTGCTGGAATGGCTGCTGTGGAACTAGCCCCTGTCGAGCCTGGTAGGGCTGCCTCTGCTGAAAACCACCTGCTGGTGCTGGGAAACCAGGTGGTTTAGTGGTGTTGCTGCTCCAGGCCAAGTTGGGATGCTGGCGCCACCCCTCATTATATGTGCTACTGTATGGATCGAGGCGCATCGCATTGGCGATGAAGGCCAACTGCTCCTGGGGTGTGGTAGACTCCCTCATAGCCTGGCAGTCCTCCACTAGTGACTCGACTCTACTGTCACTCCAGGAATTAGCCAAGTGAAACCACTTCCTAAAGCGTAGTATAGCAGGTTTGGGTTTAATTATCAACCCGGGTCCTAGATGTGATGACTACTCAGTGAATTCTTGTTATCTAGCAATGAAACTGGAATGCAAGTCTAAACTATCAAACTAACAAAGCAAACAAACTGGTTGTATTCACGTTAAAAGAGGTCACCCGGATATGGTTCCCCCTAGACTGCAGTTAAGCCGGATTGTAATTACCAAGTTCAGTTTCTATGACAGTTATACTGCGGAAGGTTCTTAAACAGCCTGAAGTCTCGACTAAAGGTCTTCAGACCCTCTCAATCTGACTCTCTAGCGGGCGACTAACCTCCACCGGAGTCGACAGATTGAGGCCCTAAGAACAAAACCTCCACTACCAGAGTAAATCCGGTACAGAATAGTGAGTTGGTTCCTCGACTAAAGTCACCAACTCCCTACCTTCAATCAAGGATACTCTATTAACCTAGGCAGATATTCTCATTCTAGGTTAAAGCAGAAACAACAGGAATTTGATCAGGATTCAAGTCATTCAATCATTAAAACCTCAATCGAATATAATCAATCATAGAATCAGTACTTGGGTTCATACAATCAAACCTAACATACAAATCTAGGGTTCTCCATACCCAGATGAATGGGAGAACTACTCCATGGAGAAGAAAGCAAAAGCAGAATCAGACACGGAATTCATACTGCGAAGGATGGATTCCTGCTTCTGGACGTTGATTGGCACTTCTCCAAGCTCAAGCTGGCCTCCAATGGTGTTGAAGATCAATCTAGGGCACTTGGGAACTCTTGCTCGTCACTTTCTCTCTTTAGGAACTGATCTCTCTCTCAAAAACTCGAATCCCCTTGAATTGTGGCTGAAACTCTGCTTAAAAGCATCAGTGGCCAAAGCACGGTCGAGGGCACGGCCGTGCTTTGCCTGACTCCGCCCGTGTCTCGGCCAGGGTTTAATTACACGGCCAGCAGCTGGTGGAAACACGGCCGTGCTTTGCGATGGACACGGCCGTGCTTCGGTGCCCGTGTTAGCAGCTGAATTGGCCAAACTGAATTTGCTCTCGGCATAAAAAGCACGGCCAGCAGTACACGGCCGTGTAATGCTTTAGGCTGCCCGTGTTTTGGCTCCAGCTCTTCGAAATGACTTCCGAATGCCCCGAAACTCGTGGTTAGCCTTCCCTTTGAGGCCTGGGACCTGAAACATGACAAAATAGCACAACCCGGCGTAAAATAGGCCAAAACACACGACTATGCCCCTCAAACGGATAAGAACTAGGGGCGCAAACATGTGCAATTACATCGTTATCAAACTCCCCCACACTTAACCGTTTGCTTGTCCCCAAGCAAACCTAACTCAAACCAATGCAACTCTCCAGACCTCTATAGCAACAAACAACCCAGATCGTAGGTAGAGGACTTCCTAGATCATTTAGCAACTTACGAGGTCAACCGACGCACAAGTCATCTCAAAGCTTCTTATCGAGTCGGCATCATGGCAAAAAGTGAACAGAGGACAAATAAATCGTGGATGGAGAGATTCTCAAAAACAAAGGATCATGGACTCACATTTTTCAAGGTGCTCGATTTTCTTTGAAGATGGTTGGAACCCCTTTTTTTTCTGTTTTGCTTGTTTTCTGTCATTTTTCTTTTCTTTTCTTTTCAAGGGTCCCAACCTGCTCTTACCGGCCATGCCAGGAGCGGATGTCTCGAGCCTCGTGCGGGGGAAAGACATGTAAGGGGGCTGGAGGTAGTAGGTGGAAATTGGGAACGAATTCCCGTCTCCCCTTACACACTTTCGCCCTATTCGCACGGGAGACGTTTATTTTCAAGCACATTTTCGAGCACCTGTTAAACTCAAAACATGATACAAGAGTCCATGACAGGTAGAGAATCCACAACACCACACAATTCAAGGGTCCTAAGATCACTAATTCACTCAATCAACCAACTCAATATGAAGAAGAAATGAGACTCTTTAAATGCATCAACATCCTCCATAGTGCTACACTACCTCCCTAGGTTGCATATTACTATAAAGATTGTCAATTCAAAGCATACTGAGCAGGCAATATCAAGGAACACGTACTTGGAGCCCTCAAATTTAAAAATTTGGACAGTGGACTAGGCTCCAAGCACACAAACAGATCTAATGCAGTCAAAAGATAAACATCCCCCCACACTTAAGATCGACATTGCCCTCAATGGAGAAGAGGGAAGGATAAGGGAACGATGTTACCGGTATGCACGGACTGCAGGAGACTGGAAACGGGCCAGTCGGGACAAGCACAGCCAAAGGGAAAAAGAAGAGCTCAAACACAATATGTTAGGTTCAATGGTCAGCCCAATAAAATATCATCCAAACCAAAAGAGAAACAAAACAAACCCAAACCCTGTTACAATCCGACTCAAAACACAAGAAAGAAAATCAAACTGTGGTGGGGTTGCCTCCCCACAAGCGCTTCTTTACCGTCGTATTAGCTGGATGCCCATGGTGGATACTCAGGGCGGTGCAGGAACAGGTGCCTCCAAGAGCGGATCCACGTCGCTCTTGAGGTACAGCTTGAGGTTGTGGCCGTGCACCCGACGGATGCGACCACCCTCATCAGTCAGCTCGACCTGCCCGTCTGGCAAGATGCAGGCGAGTGAGTACCCAGACGGCCAGGGTGGTCGTGGTGCAGGAGGTGGGACCAGCTCATAGTGGTCTCCACTCTTCTTACGTGCAGGCTTAGCAACCTGCGGCTTCGGCCGCCACTCCTCCTTGAGCTTTTTGTTCGGAGGCGAGGCTGGATGGAGTGGCGGCGAAGGAATGATGGGAGGGTCCTGCAAAATAGGAGGTGCAGAAGGGTACACGACATACTCGTGTACCTGATCAGAAATGGCATTCACAGGTGTGACAGAAATCATAGCACAGTGATCAAACTCAGTCACAGAAAAAGTAGCCTGTTCATCCCCAGCACGCAAGATCAACTTACCATCATGCACATCAATTAGTGCCTTGGCGGTGGCAAGAAATGGCCTACCTAGAATCAAGGGCACATCCACATCCTCATGTATATCAAGAATAACAAAATCAACAGGATATGTGAATGCACCAACACCAACAAGCAGATCCTCTATGATTCCCCTAGGATGCACAATAGAACGATCAGCTAATTGAATGCTCATCCTAGTAGGGCTAAGTTCACCTAGGTCTAGCATTTTATACAACTTATATGGCATGACGTTAATGCTAGCGCCTAGGTCCGCCAAGGACTTTCCTACATGCATGCTGCCAATAGTAAGAGGGATAGTAAAACTCCCTGGATCCTTGCGCTTCTCGGGCAGCTTGTTCTGCAGGATAGCAGAACACTCCTCGCTCAGCATCACTGTCGAGAGATCCCCAAGTTTCTTCTTGTTGGTGCAGATATCTTTCATGAACTTGGCATACTTGGGCATCTTCGACAGTGCCTCCATGAACGGTATGCTGATATTGAGCTGCTTCAACATTGCCATGAACTTGGCAAACTCAGTCTCCAGCTTGTCCTTGTGTAGGCGAGTGGGGAAGGGAAGCTGGGGTACATGCTCCTTAACCACTGGTTGTGGCTTGGGAGCAGGGGCTTCTTTCTCCACCCGCACTTCTGCATCGTCGGCTGGAAGTGCTGAAGCAGGCAGGGGTTCCTCCTGTTTGGCCGGGACAGGATCAGCAGATATGGTCTTACCGCTCCTGGTAAAAATGGCATCCAGCTGCTGATGCTGGTGAGGATCTCGAGGATTCGGGACAGTGGTGGCAGGCAAAGTCCCCGGTGCCCTGGTGGTGGTCTGGCGGGCCAAGATGCCCACCTGGGTCTGCAGATCCTGCAAAATGGCACCCTGGTTCCTCTGACCTGCCTCCAGTGAGGCTACACTCTGGTCCAACCTCGTGATAGTCGCTTGAGTGCTCGTCATGAATGAAGCTAGAATGTTTTCCAGCTTCGTCATCCTGTCATCTGGGGCTGGAGCTACTGCTGGCTCGGCAAACTGGCGCTGGGGCTGCTGGAATGGCTGCCCCTGCCTAGGCTGGTAGGGCTGCTGCTGTGGGTCTGGCCCCTGGCGAGCCTGGAAGGGCTGCCTCTGCTGAAAACCACCTGCTGGTGCTGGGAAACCAGGTGGTTTAGTGGTGTTGCTGCTCCAGGCGAAGTTGGGATGCTGGTGCCACCCCTCATTATATGTGTTACTGTATGGATCGAGGCGCCGCGCATTGGCGATGAAGGCCAACTGCTCCTGGGGTGTGGTAGACTCCCTCATAGCCTGGCAGTCCTCCACTAGGTGATTGGAGCTCTCACACCACTGACACTGAGCAACTGGAGGTGTAGCCAAACCTCTGCCCGGAATAAGACTGTTGGGCTGCTTCAATGTCTGCACCAGCTCAGCTACCTGCTGCTCGAGCCCGGATCTGGTCTCCATGGCGTGCACACCACGGTCCCTGGAATGTCTGCCTCTGCTGCTCTGCCCCCAGGAATGATCTCTGGCAGCCAATGTGTTAATCATCTGGTTCAGCTCGGGTGGAGTCTTAGTGAGAATATCCCCTCCTGGGCATAGAGACTCAATCACCCTCTGGCTATCTGGAGAGAGGGCACTGTAGAAGTTCCCCACTGTGAATGCATCACTGAAGCCATGATGGGGGCACTGCCAATAATAGCCCATGTACCGCTCCCAAGCATCACGAAGTGACTCATCTGGCTCTTGGTGGAAGTGAGTGATCTCCCGCTGGATCTCTGTAGTCTTCGATGCCGGATAGTACCTGTGCACGAATTTGTCAGCCAGATCGTCCCAAGAGGTGATGGACAATGGGGGCTGGGTCTCCAACCACCTCTTAGCATTCCGCGCCAGAGAATGGGGGAAGAGATGAAGGCGGATTGCATCATCCGGGACACCATTTAGCTTGAACCCGTTCGTCAGCTGCAGAAAATGGGAAAGATGCACCCTGGCCTCCTCATTCTTCAAGCCATGGAACTGGATTGAAGATGTGAAGAGCTGAATCCAGCATGGCTTGATCTCGAAGTTGTTTGCTGGGATCGGCGGGTAGAGGATGACCGGGCGGATGTCAGCAATCCGCGGAGTGTAGTAGTACTCCAAGGTGGGACCCGGCTGCGGTGGGTGATGAACTCCATGATCCTGGGGTATGGGGTTGTTCCCCAGGACCTGATTCACCGGGGGAGCCTGCTGAGGATTCCCCTGGTGTTGATTGTAGTCTTCCATCTCGTACTCCTCCTCAGAATCACTGCTCACGTGGCCGTCTATGCGCTCTTCCGTAGCCAGTCTAGCTCGCTGTTGTCTCCTGAGCTGGCGACAGGTGCGGTCAATATCTGGATTCAACGGCAGTAAACCTCCCGACTGGCTACGGGTCATGCACTACCTGCACACACTCAAGCAAAAAACCCGTGAAGGCACAAGTGGGACAAAGAAAACAAAGCAAAAAGAAAAGCTAAATTAACAGAAATCACTTTTCTTCAACAACCTAGCCGTCCCCGGCAACGGCGCCAAAAACTTGACTCGACTCTACTGTCACTCCAGGAATTGGCCAAGTGAAACCACTTCCTAAAGCGTAGTATAGCGAGTTTGGGTTTAATTATCAACCCGGGTCCTAGATGTGATGACTACTCAGTGAATTCTTGTTATCTAGCAATGAAACTGGAATGCAAGTCTAAACTATCAAACTAACAAAGCAAACAAACTGGTTGTATTCACGTTAAAAGAGGTCACCCGGATATGGTTCCCCCTGGACTGCAGTTAAGCCGGATTGTAATTACCAAGTTCAGTTTCTATGACAGTTATACTGCGGAAGGTTCTTAAACAGCCTGAAGTCTCGACTAAAGGTCTTCAGACCCTCTCAATCTGACTCTCTAGCGGGCGACTAACCTCCACCGGAGTCGACAGATTGAGGCCCTAAGAACAAAACCTCCACTACCAGAGTAAATCCGGTACAGAATAGTGAGTTGGTTCCTCGACTAAAGTCACCAACTCCCTACCTTCAATCAAGGATACTCTATTAACCTAGGCAGATATTCTCATTCTAGGTTAAAGCAGAAACAACAGGAATTTGATCAGGATTCAAGTCATTCAATCATTAAAACCTCAATCGAATATAATCAATCATAGAATCAGTACTTGGGTTCATACAATCAAACCTAACATACAAATCTAGGGTTCTCCATACCCAGATGAATGGGAGAACTATTCCATGGAGAAGAAAGCAAAAGCAGAATCAGACACGGAATTCATACTGCGAAGGATGGATTCCTGCTTCTGGACGTTGATTGGCACTTCTCCAAGCTCAAGCTGGCCTCCAATGGTGTTGAAGATCAATCTAGGGCACTTGGGAACTCTTGCTCGTCACTTTCTCTCTCTAGGAACTGATCTCTCTCTCAAAAACTCGAATCCCCTTGAATTGTGGCTGAAACTCTGCTTAAAAGCATCAGTGGCCAAAGCACGGTCGAGGGCACGGCCGTGCTTTGCCTGACTCCGCCCGTGTCTCGGCCAGGGTTTAATTACACGGCCAGCAGCTGGTGGAAACACGGCCGTGCTTCGCGATGGACACGGCCGTGCTTTGACTGAACACGGCCGTGCTTCGGTGCCCGTGTTTGCAGCTGAATTGGCCAAACTGAATTTGCTCTCGGCATAAAAAGCACGGCCAGCAGTACACGGCCGTGTAATGCTTTAGGCTGCCCGTGTTTTGGCTCCAG